AACATGCTTTCCACAGCACAGAAACCCTTACTTCCCTTGGAGTGTTTTCTCATCTTGAGTTCCCCATGTCCCTTAATCTCTAATGCTGTTTCAATCAGATGCTTATAAAGGTTTTTGATATAACCAGCTTCTTTGTTGGGCATCTGTTCCACATATGCAGGTTTTTGTTGGGGGGAGGGGAGGGAGAGAATCCTTTTAATCTCTACTCTTGCTTGAGGTTTTTTTTTAATTTTAAATTTACGTTCTTCAGTTCTGCTCTCACAGCCCAAGTCAGTCCTAGCCAAACTACTGCTGGTTCCGCGCCATCATGAAGAACCCCCATGCCACCCCCGAACATTCGAACTAGGTATGTCCGTGTTCGATCGGTCTTGTGTTTTTAGGTTTTTCTAGATAAATAAAGAACATTTATTTTGTCGGCCGACCAAAAAAGATTGGCCATCACTGGTTCAAATCAAATAGTCTGCAAGCATCTGCACCATCTATGTCTCACAAGTACTGGATCGTGTCCCCGTTTCAATCTCATTCTCAGCAACGGTGTAAAAAAAGTTGAGCAATTCGTCTGCTCATAGTTAAGAGCCCTAAGTTCTGCAATTAATCAAGTCAGTCTGCTCCGAACAGTCTTTAACTCATCAATGTTCTCTTGCAGTTCAACAAAGATTGCCCACAATTCTCAAAATGTGGTCTTGCCGGTAATGTAAAGGCCTCATCTTTTGTACGTTGTATTGAATTAACCATATTACATTTCAGATTGTTGCATCTTTCTCCGCTGGTGACTGGCTGTCACCTTGAAAACCACTTGTACTTGGAAAACATGAAATCTGCTGTATGCAACTGGCTGCTGCATTTTCGCCCACAAAATATACAGTCAATTCAATTTAAAGTATATTCTGTGAAGCGTTTTGAGACGTCTCAACAACATGATAAGGCACTATATCAAATGCAAGGGATAATTATTATAAATTCACAAAGCTTTCCTGATTGCAGTGCACCACCCAGAATAGTACAGTACATTTTTTCAGACTCACGATTCAAAAGGATTTTAAAACAAAATCAAATCTTTACTCAAATTAATTGGCAACTGTGCGTCATGAATCAGCCTTATTGCCCTGAAATACGGCAAGGCAGTCAGACAGGCAACACGTTTAGAAATTGTCTGCCATAAAGTGCTCAGATACAGGCTCAAGAGCAGTTGCAGAAATCTTCAGTCGCTGGACAGGCGGTTTCCTGAGGAGGAAATACAATGGGTGTGTGTTTGACGCAAAGTCACGCAAACACTGCTAACAAAACTGAAAGCAAGACCTGGCTAATGCAGTCTGCCAACTCAAGACAACTGGGGGAAAAAAGGTTCAACAGTCAGCCCACACAGACATCAACGAGAGCAACAGTCCAAACAAACATTTAACCCTGTCACTGAAGCTCCTTTTGTAGCAGGCTGTGCTACGCACAAGCCATGAACGAACTCTGATTGTGTCTTCAGAAGAAAAAGCACACACAATCTCGATACACAATCAAAGCCTGGCAAATGATGAAACAAAAACAATTTCATAACTAACAGATCCAGGTCTAAAGTACATTGAATAGCTTAATGCAAGAAAAGCAGAATGGGTACAGAATTATTCACAATAATACTTGTTTACTTGATATACAGTAACGCCTTATCATGGCATCAAGACATCTAAAAGTGCTTCTTCGCCTAAACAGTCACTACACTTTACAGGAATTACTGTAAAATGTAGTGACTGTTTAGGCGAATGCGGCAGTCAATTTGTAACTAAATATCATGACAATTCCCTTAAATTAAGCCTCCAATTTCATTAATCAGTAGCCACTTGGCTTCATGGCTTTTTGTTCAATACTACTTCCATTTTGCAAGCGCTTACACTTTGTTGAACTGTTTATTGTTTTCCCATTCTTTCTCACTTTGAAGTTACAAATGCTGCGCTGAAATTGCTAACTGCTGTAATCTGGGATTTTTTTCACCTTTCTGTAGCAATGTAGTGCAGCGAGATAGCAACAAGAATAAATTACATTTGTATAACACCATGAGTTTCCTTCCCTTGCAGTCGAAATTAAAGCTCCTTTTGAATCATCTACTATTTATTATATCCTGATTTGCTTAAAAAAATAAAAATTATTGGCATTTTGATTCTATTCAATTGAATAGATTTTAGAGTAAATTTTAATACTACGCCATGATATTTAAGCTTTGTGAGCACCATCAGCATGCATCAAAAATCTCCCCCTTCTCCCCCCCGCCACACACCTTTAAAATTCTCTCCTGTTTTCAATGACTCATGTTAGAATCCAGCTAAACAGAAACAAGAAGCTTTACTGTACTTTGTTTCAGTGGTCATTCTTCAAGACTGGACACAAAGGCTCCTTCTTATTGCTGCTTTTGTCCCCTCTTTGCCAGTTTTTACATGCCTTGGAAATGACTTGCCTACCTTTGAACCCATAAGCCCGTGGAGTTTTGAACCTGATGAAACATGTTAATGTTTCACTTTCCATTCCCTGCATTTCACTCTGAAATTCAATGAGCAGCAGGGAGATGTCACACTGAAGACTACAAAAGCACCAGCAACAACATAAAATTACATTTGGGAGTTCAGCTCTATCACCAAGACACAACAGCCCTCCAAAAAAGAACTGCACCACTTTAAATGGGTTTAAATGAAGTGTCTTGATGAACACGTGCCAAGAATGCCCTGGAACAAAACTGGCTCCGACAGCAATCTCACCCGGAAAGGCCTCAAGGAAGGAAGGCTGGTGTGGGAAGAGGAGTGATTCATATTGCTATGTTATGGTTGAGAAACATCACTGAGCCAAGGGAAAGCTCCTTTTGCAGCAGGCTGTGCTACGCACAACCTAGGAACGAACACTCGATGCAGACATCGGTTGTCAGAAGTTGGAAAAAAATAATTCTATTCCTCATCCTTCAAATTGATAAGCACAACATTCACTCAATTAAAAAAAAACTGGGAAGATAACACAACTGGAGCACCTCGCATCAATGATTAGACTGGAGAAAAAACAGCCCAATCCTCATGTACAAATAGAGCTACACCCAGCAAGTTAAAGACTGATGTGTTTAAATTGTTCATCGTGCATATTTTAATATCTGGTTGGAGTCAAAAGTGTTGCATAACCTTCAGCGCCTTGGGACGTCCTCCCGATGTGAAAGGCGCAATATAAATGTAATTTTGTTGTTGCTGTGTTGTTGTTGTTGTATGCCTTAGTCACTGCCTAATCTACAGGCAATTGGAGAATTTTAAAAAAACATGAATCTGAATTTTGTTAAGAGTATCACACATGGGAACAATCACCTTTCAAACTTTCATCTCTGTACTCAAGGCAAACAGGAATTTTAAAGTAGAGCGACTACTTGCAAACAAATGGTATTCTCAAAGGAACACATTTGATAATATTAGAATCGTTTGGATGATTAAGGGAAAACTTCAAATTATAAGAACATTAATGTTCGTGGAGGAATATAACCCACTTTATCATGTTCTTTCTTCCTTAAATCTTCGCTGAACCTCCACCACTGTCAATGTATCCTTCCTAAGTTGAGGTGACCTCACGACCAAACACAAATACTCCAGAGAAAGGCTGACTTGAGTTCTGTATAATAGCAGCAGTAGTTCCTTCCTTTTATTCTATAATTTCCGTAATAAGAGCCAACATCCAATTAGTCATTTTGATTAGTTTGCAGGTGCAAAAAACTTTTAATGATTGATCTTTCTAGAACCCTTAAACTCCTTTGGTCATCCTCTCACTCCAGTGACATTTAAAATGCATTCCCATCAGCTATATTTTCATCCAAAGTCAACTAAGCCACACTGAGTAATTTCAACTGCTATTAATACTTCATACAAGCAACTGTAAATCTCAACCCACTCATTGGATTAACTCTTTTGGTTCATAGCATCAGCAAAATGTCAAGTGCTCAACCCTTACTCTCTTAACCATTCCACAAAGGGAAAAGCTCCTTACTGTCCAATTAGGAAGCAGGGATGCAAGGTATTTGTACTATATCGAGAAGCAAAATAATATGAAACTAATTTCTTCGATCTTGAAGTGATCTTGAACAGAAAAACTGACTATTATAGGAGTTTCTTCCAACCCATCCTCCGTTTCTAATATAATTTTCCCTGCAATACAAGCGTGCCAATCCAAAATAACCAAACTAGCTTCCATTTATTTGATCTGTACAGAATTATTGATTGTGGGCATAATGTTGAAACCATCCTCCAAAATGTGAAACGTTTGGCATTTTAAATGAAATCAACGCAATCCCTAATTCTACCTAAGGAAACCTAGCACCCAAGAAATGTAATCAAGTTTGTGTAAGATGTGCCCTCAGCATTGTGTTTAGATCCACTTGATGAATTGTGGAAATCTTCCACAATATGCTATCTTGAATTGTTGCTTTCAAAACTATAAGTAGAATTCTCGATTCAAGAACAATATTACTGCACAGCAATTGTGCATTAGACTTCAACTGTGCATTTCAGTGTGTGTTTTGGTACTGTTCTCAGCACAATTCCTCTTACATGTTCAGCTCGGATGCTTTTAATCTGGGCAGGGGGAGGAAGGGAAGCAATCATTTTCTGCTCCACAATTTCCAAAGAAGAAACGGAAACAATACAGCTCACGGACAATCATATACACATAAGACAGCAATGCACCTTCATATTAGAAATATCTGTCCTGTAAGATAATCTGCCCAAGTGATCGTTCACAAGTTATGTGGTTAAATTCCATCTTTTATTCTCAGCAGTTAAGTATTCTGACAGAAAGTCCTCTCCTTATCTAGGGTGGCAGCATTAAAATAAAGTGGAGTGTAAATGATCTCAACACAATTAAAATGTTTTCTCTGAACAACTTACTGGAGACGAATAATGCTGAAAGCACAAAAAAAACTTATGGGGAGGGGGGTGGGGGGGGAGGTGGGGAAGGAGTTAATATGGATCAGAATTGTTGAGTCTTCAGTTACAAACCTGCCGCTGTAAGACCATCTGCATGGAACCCTTCATCCGCTGAGGCTGACGAGTCGCAGACAGTTGCCATTGCTGAGACAGGGCCCGGGTGGCAGAAACTGCCTCTGGTCGCATTTGCTGCTGGACAACCATCTCCTGTTGCACATTTGGAAGCAGCTGCAGAGGGGCCACCGACCTCCGGACAGGCACGGACTCCCCCTGGCTAAGGCTGGAACTACCAAACGCCGTCAATAGTTGCTTCTGAAAAACGTGTTCCGGATTCAGTCCCGAGCGAGCCTGCGACTGCTGGTGTGCATTTCCTTGAAGAGATAAAAAGCTAGTCGTGGGTTTCCTTTGTGTCGGCGCATTAGGAAGCTTCACCTGAGAAGCAGGGCTAGTTGTTATCGGTACGCCAGTCTGAACCGAGGACACACTTGAAGGACTAAAGTTTCCCTGAGTGCTTACAGAATGCATAGGCTGAAGAACGCTTTGTTTAGCAGGACTGTTGGGATTGAGCATATGTTGAACTGCCTCCTGGTTGGTGCCCGCTGCCACCGTGAACAGATCACTCGCTGGGAAGCAAGGCATAGTCTGGGATATCCGATGAGTAGAAAGCATTGTAGTGGACGTCAGATTGTTGCCATTAGCTAGGTTGTTATTAGGAAAGGAATACTGAGAAGTAAACTGGTTTGAACTGTTGATTGAGCAAGGAGTCATGTCTTGGGATGGCCCTGAAAAGTTCACGCTCTGATGTAATCCAGGGTGGCTGGCACTACCAGTGAATCTAACAGAGCGAACTGAATTCACAGGCAGGGCTGTTGCTGTTGTTGGCTGGTTAAACTGTTGTACTGTAACTGGATGCTGTTGGATGGATGTACTCACAGCTGCAGTCGGTTGGCCTATGTGAGTCATACACGATGACGTTGAACCGTGGACACCCATGAATTGATTGCCTTGATTTAGAGATTTCTGTCCCGTGGCAAAATGGTTCATATTCGGTTGAGACTGCACTGGTGCAGGCGGTTGCTGCTGTGAACTGGACTGATGCGGTGCAAAATCATGGCGAGTTAAAAAAGGCGTCATCTGTTGCATAGACTGAGAATGTCCTTGCAGTGTGTGGAACGGCGATCCGTTTTGATTTGAAATAGGGCTTTGGTGACCCCACATTGGGCTTCCGTCCACAAATGTTTGTCCGGTATTATCATTGTGGCCAGATGGGAATAACCCATTTGCCTGGTTTGGCTGATGGTCAGGTGAACAGTGAAACTGGGAATGTGGGGAAAGGACATTACTTTCAGTACTGCCACCCACCAGGTTAAAAGGCTGATTCACTGGATGAAGTTTCAATGAATCAAATGTTTGTAATGGTTCGAAGTTAAGTTTCTCTGGTTTCTGTGTTTCCGATACATGGTGCAGAGACTCAACCTGCAAAGGTTCAAAATCTGCACTCAGGTTCAGCTCATCCACCAATGAAACTGACCCCGTTTGTGAAAAGCTGTCATCCGTCAGGCCTTCCAAACCTCCACCAAAAAGATTGGCGTCATCCAAAAAATCCATGATAGGATCAGTCATCCTGAGACATCTACACTCTTAGACCGACCAACAGTTCACTTTGTGTGAGCTTACCTCAGCCGGTCTGCGATGGGGATGTTTTGCAACTTCTAAAAGCATTCAGTAACAAATCCACTGCATCGTTGCATTCAATCCACTTGGTCACGCAGACACCTTGGTGTCATGCAGTCGCTAGAAAGTCCCTTTGGGGAAAGGAGGGGGGGAAAATAAAAGGATTATTAGATAAATTTGAAAAGTGAAATTTTCGAGCATTGCAACCTACACACTGAATTCCCTGAAACCATATATTCAATAAACTATATTTCACACGACACAAATCCAACCTGTATTAGAAATAATCTTCTAACGCCTTCATATGTCTGTATGATTTTGAAGAGTGCTCCTTAACATAACATGTAGGAGCAGGAGTAGACCATTCGGCCCTTCGAGCCTGCCCCGCCATTCAATCATGGCTGATCTTCTAACCTAACTCCAGCTAATAACCTGACCCTGCCTTATCCCCATATACCTTAATCCCTTTTGCAATAAGAAATCTATCTATCTCAGTCCCTCCAAGTTGGGTTAAATAAACCCAACTTGGAGGGAACCCTAAAAACACTAGTTATTGAGTTACAATGGCCAACGCATGGATGTGCGACTAGAATCACTAGCTGTGGAACTAATTTCATTGATCATTCTCAGAGAGAAAGCGTAGTCTCAAGTGGCCAAATTGCCACTTCCTTTGCTGCAGTTTGTATACGATAAGATGCTACACAGTTCTAAAGCTAAAACAATCCCAAGATGTACATTCCTGTTACTGATGCAACTTCTGACTTGTAAAACTAAAATGGCTGATATTCCTATATCTTGTGGAAAAATGCTGCCAATATATTATGAATTGACAACGCAAAACAGGAGAGATTGACAGAACTTGTGTTTTTGTTTTTTCAATGGAAATTCGGGGGATAGGAAGAGAACATTTTTGTTGTTGGAATGCAATGCTTTGAAAAAGAAAAATGAGAATGAAGCATCAATTGAAAGCGATTAGTTCTTATAATTCTTGTCAAAATGGATAGTCGTAATACAACTGGAAATGTAAACACCTGAAGTTCAAGACTTTACATTTCCAGGTTAATGGAATATCACTCATTCAGAAGGTAGTTTACAAGCCTTCCCAATGGATTAGTAGGGAAATGAATGATGGGTTGCTCAAATGTGCCAGAGAAGAAAATCCCAGTTTTGATTCTTACTCTGTGTCAAGTTAGTTGATTATAGCCAATGATGAGGAGCGTAAGGACATTTCTGTAATTGACTTCTACTCCTGAATCCAGTGGCCCCTGCTGCAAATGTACACCAGGTGATCAAGCTCATTCCCACGGTCAAACAGCATCCCAAAGCTGGCTTGCGGGGAGGGGTGACACATGAAAAATAAACAGTTGGCAGAGATACCTGAGGATTGTTGCTTTAACTTTCACTTTTTACAGAATGTCTTTCTCAATCTTTTGACAAATGCCCCAAAAAAGGAAGCGTGAAAAGTTTCACTCAAAAAGATCGTCTTCCTACAGAGCAACTTCAGGCCTGAATTTACCAATTTTAATCCCCCTTACAACTGCAGTTTGGAACCAAATTCTTATCCTGTCACTATTCCTTGATGACTGCAAGCCACAACCTTGGCCTCAAATGTTCTGAAACTCATCTCCTGAAATAATGTTCTCAATTACATATTTTAAATTTAACTTTGTTCTCTTGGCCATATACAAAAAATGCACTTGAGATGTGTATCGATCACTACATAAACTCAAGCCAAGTCTTCATGTATTTGAGGGAGGTTCAATAAGCACGTTTAGAGATCCAACTTGTGAATGTTTAAGTTGGTTCAATTTAGTTTTAAGTTGAGCTCAATGTGGGTAATTTCAGTTTCACTGGATTGTTTCCCAAAAAAAAATTGTACACAGAGGTGAAAGATGTTGCTTTGCACACAAATGCCACTATTTTCCTGAACGATGGATAAGCGGGTACCTTGATACATATATGAAAAGGCAGAGTTCCTAATCTTGGCCATACCATTGTAGAGGAAGTGGGAGCACAGGCTGTGCACATTCCCACAGGTTGAAGGAAATAATTTTTGGAGCACTATTCACTTGATCAGTAAATATCACTTGCTAGTGAGTGAATCAAATGTTGTACTATCCATGAGCCTTATACCACTCAGGGAAACGAGAAAATAATGGCCAGTTGTGCACAGACATTCCTTCACACACACTCTTGTAACTTAAGATATTTCAGAAATTCTAACACTACACAATATATCATGCAACTTCCCTTCTCTTTTAATGAGGAAGAATAGTTTAGTACAGTTCTGAATTTAATACTCAACTTTAAAATGTAATTAAGCAATCACACAATGGACATTAAAATTTATTTAACTTCCACATATTGGAAATGACATATGATCAATCCTAATGTTTGATGTGTTGCCACAACAAAAGCTGTCACAATTAGTAGGTGTTTCTGCTAACCCAAAGGTTTGAATCAAAAAACCTTAATTTTGCAACACATGAAGCTTGCTCTTTAAACCACGTTTTTCCTTTGTACCCTCGTCCTTGATAAATGATGTTAAACACTCTCACATGAGAAGAATTTAGAGTTCCATAACTTTGTCTTTGCAAAAATAACATAAATAAAAATATCTGTTATAAATAGAAAGCCTGTACTGTACATAAACAGTGCAAGGATCAAGTGAAAAATGCTCACAAAGTATTTCTGTTTCCAGAATTTTTCACTTTTAATAAATAATACTCAATTGTAGTCATGAATGCATCAAGATTAATAAGTATCTGGGGGCAAATGAAAATTCAAGCGAAAAATCCCCCAAACAGAAATTCTACATTCTTAAAAAGTAAAGCGCAATACACAACGCAAGACATCTCAAAATTTTCTGCAGAGTTAAAATCACTAACACGAACAGTTTAAAGCTTTGTTCCCACAAAACCTACTCAAGGACACATGAGCTCCATTGTTTAAGGTCAATTACAGTATTCTAAGTAATGGTTCTGGAAGGCAAAGTGTAACCAAAGCGCCAGATAATCGTGTTCATTCACGACCAGTAAAGCTCCAGAATAGGAAACATTCTGATCATCTGAGGGGCAACAAGTGATACGTGAAGTTTCACCAGAAAATTCCCTTAGTAAAACATCAACAAATTCAAGCACATCCAACAATTTTATCATTACTATCCTCAGGTTTTATGCATTTCTTTTTAAAAAACAAGTAAATATAATATGTAATTATTTTATGTATTCAATTGCTGATCACAATTTTTTTAAAAAATTCAACAATTATAATAAAATAATAATCCATGCATTTGATACAGGTCTTCGAAACGTCTCAAAGCGCTTCACAGAATACACTGCAAAGTAAATTGACTGTATATTTTGTGGACGAAACACGGCAGCCAATTGCGCACAGTCCCACAGACAGTTGTGGATTAAGTACGTGTTTTCCAAATTATTGCACACCAGGCATGGTAGCCTCTTTGCCGGTCAGTCACCATCAGAAATAAATGCGGTGAATAAAACGAGACTCAATAATGTCAGATGGTTCAAGGAACCAAAGGTTCCACCACATTGCTCGGTGTGGTGAGCTGGCAAGTCTTTGTTGGGGTAGTATTGCAGGCTACATTCAGCTTCAATAAACCAGAGGAAGGTATGGAGTGGTGAGGATGGATAGACAGAAAGGAAAGAAATATTTCTGCCAAGATTCCTATTCTTGATTTAATGGTCACTAATGGAAATGCACATCTTGACCCTGAGCAAGGTCAGAGATCAACACGTCTTTATACAAGTAATTTAAAGGTAAGTGGGACTCAATGGATTGCTCATCCAAAGAGCCAGCACAGACACAAGGAGCCGAATGGCACTTCTTCTGCACTCTAAAGTCCTATTAAAATAGAACTACTATATATTAAAATAAGCAGCTTTCTCCCATCCATTTCCATTTATGGCAAAGTGTCTGATCTCCACTCGGCTAAACACCCATGGTCAAATGCTGGAAACACAAAGCTCACTGTGCAGAGGATTGTGTGTTCAGATCCACATCTCGATGCTGCAGTATCCCTGAATCATCCCTAAAGCAAGATGTTAGTCAGGATTCGAACACTGCAATGCTCGTTTTATTCAATGCAAACATCTCTATAATTGGGGTAGCAATAACATTTACATTTGCTTTGAATCAGGATGCTGTGGAAGCAATGTTTTATCGGTTTGCTTTGATCGAGTGCTTATCATGTGAACTGTTACAAAACTGGAGGCAGGTACGCAAAAAATTGTTTGAAGTTAAGAAGGAAACTGCCATTGAATACTCAATCGGATACCTTAGCGTCAGAGTACAAGACTGGAGAATCAGTAGATTTGAAAACTGACAATCTTGTATCACTGCCTGATTTTTACCACCACATCAATCCAGGTTATATAACTTTGGTTTGTGGTTAAAAACTTTATTTATTTTGTTGGACCTGTAACCAAATCGGCCAAACTTTGGGCCGGTTTGGTTAAGGGTTCAATAAAAAAAATACAGGGAAAGCACTCAAGGAGGTCAGAAGAACGAACGTTAATACATTTTAAATTGATTTAAAGTTTAAAACCCAAATCTAAATGGTGAAAAGTTCTATTTTAAACGACAATTACCAGCAGGTCAAATGCCTAACACTCAGAACAAGCCTGACATACCAGCTGTCAGTGAAAGCAAACAAAAAAGGTTTAAATGACTCAAACAGATGATTTTAATGAACTATTCCTACCTCATTTTGTATCAAATATTTCACACTACTTCTGCTATCTGCAATAAAACACAATTTTTTTTTTAAAAAATCAGTCATAAATAAAATTCATAGAATTCTCTCCTGCTCTAACTCATTCCTTCAGAGTTCTTCAAAGACTAATTCTTCACTTTGCCTTCTCCAACAACTTGCAGGCTGCTAAATACTGGTGTTCCACGGAATAATTACAGGACTTATCGCACCCTCTCTCCAAATCTTTACAGCCTTGATAGTATCTGACACCATGATGGTTTTTGGCCTTTCACCTAGGGCTCTCAGTAAAGAAAAACTGTCAAGAGCATGACACTACAGATCATAATGATCCTTACATTTGATAAAATGCCTTATCACATATACTGAATCAAATCTTGGTGACATGAGATCACC